CTCTACTTCTAAATATTCGGAAAGAAGTTTTAACCACATTTTATTTTCCCGCCTACGAGATATAAGGGATAATGCGAATGAAAAATTGTAAAATTTTTTAATGAAATTTTTCTGTATGTTTTCTCTTAAATATTGTTTTATTTATTATTTGTATGGAGTATATATTTATTTTCAATAACGAATAATGAATAATAGGTTATTCCGGTTATAGGTAAGTTTCTAAACTTAGCGCTGAGCTCATCAATGGGATCGGATCGGTCTCTAAACTGGAGGAAACAATATTATCAATGTGCTCAGAGAGGGGGGAGGGGAGGGAGGGGTTGCCTAGAGGAGGTTTGGTGGCTTAAGTTGCACCATAAAATTTGGAGGGTGCATATTTTAACTGGTTTTTGAATTTTTGAGAGGGGAAAATTTCAAGGGCTTATAAATTTTCAGAATGAAAAAAATCAGACTAGAAGAATACACGGAACAGACTGCAGCAATTGTAATTGGATGTGATCTGCGATTTTTCGAATTCTGCCTTCGCTTGCATTGTTCTTAAGAAAAGGTGAGCAATAAAATATTTTGGAGTAAGTTTTTGCGCTATTGACCTTGGTTGGGAGGGAGGGGGGCAACCGTGGTGCTCAGCGCAGAGTTTAGGAACTTGCTTAACCTTAAATAACGAATAACGAAATAACCAATTGTAAGAAATCATTGAATTACAAATTTATCAGTTATTCCTTATTTAAATAAGAATTTATTCAAATAACACCCAACATTATTCGTGGATATTTTAATTTCTTGACTTGACTTTTATTTCATCCTACTCTTCTTTAATATGTATGATCGCCGTTTGAGGTGCAACCCCTTAAAACTATTCCATCTTTCTCTCACCACAGAGGTTCATACAGGAACCTACGCCTAGGTCTTCAAAGTTGATGTGCACCGGAAATTTTGCTTTAAACTTGATAACCTCCTAATAATTTCGTTACCTCCGAATACGTTAATTTTTCTTAAAATTAATAAAAGGTTTGGATAATAATTACTCACACATTTCGCTGGAACCAAGAATTTTTCTCTTTTCCCATCGATATAAATTTTGTTATCTATAAACGTATTTTTTTTTTAATTTTGATTTAATTTCCGTTATAAAGCCTAGTCAATACATATGACAGAAATATATGTAAATCACATGCTATAGTTTAAAATCAAATATAACCAAAAACTTTATTTGTAATGTATACAGACTTATAGACTAATATAGGCAGTAGCAATAAAATGGCGATTAATTAATTACGAAAAGCCAGATGTCCAATTTTATTACCTTAACAATAGTTTAGTTAAGGCGGAAGGTAGAAACCTATGATTTGAAATATAAGTACGAATTTTATAATTTATTGGACTGTCATACTTGTTTTTTTAATGAAGTAATTTTCTTAGGATTGTATTGCTCAAGAAATCAATTTCAGACTAGCATTCTAACAAAACCCATACAAGATCTCATTAGAACCAATTTTTTTTCTTTCTAATATATTCGAGGTTTAAGCATTATAATGAGTATTTTGAAGTTGCAGTTTACTTAATAATTATTTAACTTACCCCACTGTAAAATATCCCCTTAAACACAGTATAGCACTACCTGGTGTCTATTGCGTTTGGTTCCATAAAAGGATGTTCTATTGTAGAGATGGACAAAAAGTACTGGAGTTTAAAGTGCAAATTACAGAGTATTTTACTCAAATACTCATGCGCTCCAAGTACCTAATACTTAAATCACTTCTCAACCTGATGATTGACGAGTACCAAAAGCACTCAGCTGTCCTCGTGGGTACTTAGAATTGTTTTACTTTGAGTGTTTTTCAAAGTTATAGAGTACTTTATTCGACAAGAGTACAGAAGTAAAATATTTTATATTTCATCAATACTTACGTCCTTTCTATGCTCTAATGGGCGTTGTTTTTAAAAATACTATCGATGTTAATGTAAATCAATTAAATATCGTTAATCGTTAATTAAATATGTTAATGTAAATCGATTTATTAAAAAGATTCGATATCGAGATCTACTATTAAATGTTCCGGGGTTTATTTAAATATATCTGATGTATTCTGTATGAAGCTCTATTATTAGGTTGTCAGAGGGCTTGTTTTTAAAAATACTATTGATTTTAATGTAAATCGATGATGTATTGATATATTTAAAAATTCAAATACCTCGGCTCCACAACAACCTCACTGAATCACCAACGGGCAGAAATAGACCAGCGTATAAGTAGCGCAAACGGAGCTTTCTTTTCCCTTTTAAAGGTATTGAAATCCCGAAAAGTCTCAACAAATCTCAAATTAAGGGTGTACAATGCTATGATAAAGCCAGTTCTAATATATGGCTGTGAGGCCTGGACACTAACCTGCACTCTAGAAAAAAGTGTTGAGATTTTAAGAGAAAAATCCTCCGCACGATAACCAGGGCGATCTGGGATTAGAGTACTAACACATGGAGAAGAAAGATCAATAAAGAACTGCTTACAGAAACTGATCAATCAATATCCCATGATATAAAGGCAGGGCGGTTAAGATGGGCGGGGCATGTAGCTTGTAGCAATCCATCTGGAAGCCTCTACGTAACAATTTATACCTAAATAGATGGAAAAAGACCATATGGAAGGCCAAAAAGCAGATGGATAGGTAAAAACAACAAAGATACAATAGAGCTGGAAAGAAATAGCCGAAGACAAGCAGAGATGGAGCAGGCTTGTTAAGCCGGCAAAACATCTACATGGTCTGTAATGCCAACAGAAAAGAAAAAAAAATTAAACATTTCGAATTTATCCTATATCTAGGTCTACTATTTCTAAAACGTACGCCCCCGAAAACCTGGACCCGAAAATAATAGACTCCTATATTGAATAAATATTTTAATAAATCGATACGTAATCTATGTACATTAAAATCGATTGTATTTCAAAAAGTAAATCCCAGAATGCTTCAAAAGCGATTTTTATTTTTCGATGGCTATAAAATTCGTATTCGAGTGTCTTTTGAGCTGCGAAATACAAATCTCAATTCTGTTTCTTCTTAAAAAAATATTTGAACACACTTCGCTTCTTCGGTCGGTACAAATTGTTTAAATTTGACAGATTTCTAATCGATTTTTACGATTTTTTGTTTGTTTTACAGGGAATCGTATAGTAATAGTAATCTTTTTAAATATTAATCTTTCTAATAACCATGTGTACAATAAAGAAAACGAATGCATACTTTTCGATTTATTCGTAAATAAAGTTTATCTTCCTTTATAACTTTTTCCGGAAATTTCGGGAATTTCACTATTTTTTGCCTGTAAAGGAGAAGAATATCTTCAAAATGTGTGGTCAGTCATTGGATCAATTATTTACAAAGATACAGTCCATTAATTTTGGTATACTTAATAATTTCTTCTTGTTTAAAAATATTGCATTTACTATTTATATAAATATTGCACTTTTTGCACTGGCTAATATGTTAAATTTATTATTTCTTAAATGAATTTGTTTTTCTTATATTTTTTAATAATTTCGAAAATCTCATAATTGAAGCTTCAATGATTTGATAAAGATTTGACGAAGTTATATCGTACCAACAAAAAAACACCTTTTTGAAATAATATATAAGTTTTTTAATTTGTTATTAACTGTGAGTTTATGGTTGACTGTCGTGAATAATGAAGAGAAGGATGGTTGGGGTGATCAGTCAGAAATAAAAAGGCAAAATAAATAATAATATTTATTTTAACATTTGCCGACGTTTCGATCTGAAGTTCAGGCTTTCATCAGGGCTAAGAAAAGAACCAGATAACAAGGTATGAGAAACATAAACAATGTAGGTAAAAAAAATAAAGTGGGTAGAATAATGACAATAACAAGAACTAAGAAATAAATAATAATAACGCCTAGGTAATGTACTTTGTCAGATTGGAGAATATGTTCATTTTCAAGTTAGACAGGAGGGCAGTTTTCGCGTCAGAGTGAAAATGTTATATGTTGGGATTTGTTGTGATTTAGTTTTATTTTCCAAAGTTTGTACCAGTCGTGTAAGATTTAAGACAGAAGGATGGCATTGGGCCCACACATCACTGCTAAGCGAAAGACACTAAATCAACGATTTAGACTATTATATTCCCTACTGGGACGTCGCTCAAAAGTAGATTTAAGACAAAAACGTAACACTTAACCACTTTGGACATACGCATCACGAATATAGGGAATTGCCAAAAAAAAAAAAAAAAACTCACATTCAGAAATTACAAATATTTCAGGCCAAAACCTTCAGAACAATTACAAAAGCACCTTGGTATGTTAGTCACATAACTCTCCACCAAGACTTAGGCATGCAAACCGTCACAGAACATATACAAACTTATTACAAAAGGTTTCACAACAAGCTCTATGGTCACCCCAATAGACTCATCCAAGACATGGCCAATGAAAACATGCCCGATAACATCCGCAGAAGGCTGAAAAGGAGTTGGATGAGAGATCTCCTTAATTAACCACAAACATGACTGAAGATAAACCACTGAGTTTTTTTTCTCTTCCTCATACCTATCATGCCCTTTCTCCTAGTCTATTTGTACAGTTATCTCATTCACTGGTTGTCAGTGGACATTGACTGTTGTGAATTAAAAAATAAAGAGGAAAAAAAAAAATAATAACCGTTACAAAGTGTGGAATAATGAAGTAAACATAATCAAAATAAGTTGACATAAGTACTAAAATGGTAATCTTAGAATAAAATGTAAAAAAGAAAAAAAGGAATATGAAGTTATATAAGAAATAAAAATAAACAGTAAAATTAAGATATTTTAAATAGAATAGTTAGAAAGAAAATTTGTTAGTTTCATTGTAAGGTGCTGAACTCTCGCGGCTTTTGCATCACTTAGAGTAGGCCGGAACACTAGCGCTACCTGTTAGCGCGCCTCGGAAGCTCCCTGCTAGGTTCAAACAGTTATCCCGCCAGTCAGGTATGTGAGGTGCGGAGGGTGTGATGCCGTTCGTGGTGCGAACTGTCGAGCCCCGGAACCTCGGGAGGACGAGGCTTCATGACGATGCCGGGCGACCGATACTCCGCGACGGCGAACTTGAAGCGGTGAGCAATGCCACACTGGCCAACGCGCTTCGGCAGCTCGCCTCGGTGGCAAGGATCGCCGAAGAGATCTTCCAGGAGTTGAACTCCCAGCTGACGGAGGTGTCGGAAAGGAGTAGCCGGCTGAAGACGAGGATCGGTTCCGTACAGGAGAAGGTTTCGCAGTACGACCCCAAGACAGTCACAGTCCGTAAGTAGATCCAAATTATTAATCCCAAGTATCAAAAAGCACGAGGTACACCTGGTTGTAGGTCACCTGTCGTGTAGTGTACGTTACCGGCTAGAGATTCCCACGGTACCACGGTTCTCCTCTCTTCAACCCTTACCTCTTTGCGCAACTGGAACGGAATGTATTTAATATCTTCCACCGTAGGGAATGTCATTTCATTCTCAGGCTGATTATCTTCCCATAAATACAATATAACTACCAAGCTAACCGTTCAGATTTATTGCTCTGTACTTCTCTGAGTTTTATTGTATGTTTTGTTCCACTGTAGCGAATTAAATTTTCTATGTCATTTAGATAGATAGATAGATAGAAAATAACTATATTCTGGGACACAGTCCCTTGAGAATAACAAAATTAAAAGATTACATATGGTCAAAATAAAATCAATAGAAAAAAAAGAAATAATGTAAAAAATATATAAGGTAAATATTCTATATACAAAACAAACGAAACTATATAAAAAACAATTAACATTATGACAAGACACTTAAAGCTACTTGCATTGATAAACCAGTATACACTTTTAAGAAAACAATAAAGGATTAAAAAATAAAAATATATTAAATTCTTCATTAAAATAAGCTTTGTGTTTCTGTTGAGAAAACAGGAAAGCTGAATCTGACAATATGAAGTGCCTGATTAATATATAAATACATCATCATTAAAATATTGACTAATGTATAAATACATCATCATCATTTCTTAACGTAGCAATAGGCAAGAATTTAGTGGTGTATGAAAGATAATAGTTATAAGCTACCAATAGATGCGTTCAGTGACATCAAGAGTAGGAAAATCTTTACCCTATAAGAAAATGAATATCTCTAGTAAAGAATAGCATTGATATTTGACAATGAATGGCATGATATAAATGTATGTTGTCAAATGGTTAGCAACTATCTGACTGTTTTTGGGATAGGAATTGGAATAGGACGGTTTTGAATGTGGATATGGATGGGGAATGTCAAATTTTGATAGGGAGGGAATTCCAGAAATTACGTTTACTTTTTACGTTTTTAGTTAATTAAAGCTCTTAAACAACTGTCACTTGCTCAAATATATTTATATTATCTACATCAATAATTCATTTTTATTATAAATAATGTATTTATTTAATTATCAATACATCATAATAAATTTATAATTGGTTTTTTGAAAGAATGAATTTCTTAAAATTAATAATATTTATTGATGACAAAGAATAAAACAATGTTTCGGTATTTTTTGAGCTTATATGTTTTCAATAAAAAAATTTCAATTTATACATTTCTCCGATTCTGTATTTATCCAATTTTATTTAAATAATAACATACCTGCTTGTTTTAATTTACATAAAAAATGTTTACCCAGATTAGATACTTACCAATATGGATATTGATACTCTATATCTGTTCATACCCACCGTTCTTCCTATTCGATTTTTGATCATCCTTCTTTCATGGCATCTGCTTTAGAAGAACTGTCATTGCATTTCTGACAACAGGTCTTCCATAAGTCACTGTCCTATTTTTAATATTAATATCCAAATACTGTATTTAATTAGTCTTTTTCTCTTTGATAGTTTTAATTTTCAATAAGGATATAAATGAACAAAAAAAAAAAAATTAAATATGTACTAAAATTTTATGTTATGACGAAAAAGATACGTTCATAATTCTCAGTAAACACGGGTAATGTAGATATATGTACATGTATACATGTATATGACACGAAGCTCAAAATTTAAATATAAATATTTATTCAAATATAACTTAAAATCCTCTCCTCTATATAATATCATCTTTATGGCGATCGGTAGTATTACTCAAAAGTATGATGGATTCTATCTAATGTGGGTACCTGATCTTTTAATGGTTTGTAGTCAAAACTTGGCAGTTGAAGGATGGTACTTTGAAGGATAGTACCTTGTGCTAACTTAGTTCATGAAACCGCACTACTTTATGAAGTCCCTTCATGGGTTATAGCATTAAAAGTTTATATATGTATATTTTGTTTATCTAACCGCACGCGAAGTATATATATTTTTTTGGTAATAAAATACTTCGGTGAATGACACGATAATATTTTTGATAACGCTATATTGGTGTAAAATGTGTAACTGATTGTTTCATTGTTTTTATTATCACGTTTCTTAATTTTTAAGACTGAGTTATTTCAAGTAGTAAAATAAATAAATTCTGATCTTTATATGGACCTGTTATTTTCAACAGTTGGTTGACCTAATCGAATTTACAGTTTCGTATTTCATTGTTGTTTTAAACAAAAAATTGTTAATAATTGCTTAAAAGAAATAACATTTTAAAAATAACGTATAGTTAATTAATAGTACATCTCTACTTAGTATTTACCTAGTAATTATATTGCTTGATAAAATTTGGACATGGCAATTTTATAAGCAATCACCTTAGCAGTTTGATAATTGAAATATTTTTTAAAAAATTTAAAGTCTTCATTTAAATTTACAATAATTAAATTAAAATCTCATTAATTATAATTGTAATCAGTTAAAAAAATATATTATTTTAAATTGTGATAATGGTATGCTATATGCCAACGTTTTGACTTACATTGAAGTTCTTCATAAGGGATGAAACACGGGTAAATAAGAAGGCTTGGACGGATCTTGAAGGATTTTTTTAAGTTAATTAAAATTTATAAAATTTTAATTAATTTTTTCTAATTAAAAACTTAATTACTTTAAGTTTTAAATTAATTTTTAACTTCTGAGGAAAAGTTTGATACACGACGTCCTCTGAAGAGTGAGCCGCTATCAAAGGTCATATAAAGGTTAATATTTATCTTGTCCCCAACTGCAACAGATGTTAGTTATTATAAGATTTCTTGTTTGTTATTATAACTTTCAATATATTATTTTATATTTTTTGGAATAATACGATTTCGAAATTTCTAATTATATACAGTTTTTTTTTGAGGAGGGAGGTATTTAATTTGGAAGAAGTATATTTTCAAATATTGTGACCTGAATATGTGCAGGATTACGATGTAGTAAAGTTGAACTGTTAAAATGAATTTATTATTACTTTTATTGTATTGGTAATTTTTATTATTTATTTTTTTTAGTGTCAATATAGCGATGGATAAATTTCGTGTTTATACTTTATTTTAAATTTATCACAAAAAAAAATTAAATGGAATTATTATTACTATACACCAATGCCTAATTTTTGTCGTGTCCATTTTTTGTTGAAAAAATCATAAATTAAATGTCTTCAAAAAACCTTGTCCAGTCCTTGATGTTTTTTTTTTTCTGAGTTTAATGGATTTTTTTTTTATATTAGTTCTCTATTAGAAATGTTGCTCCTTTGTGACACAGGTATTTCTATAAACCATTTTTAAATAAAAAAAAAGAATAAACAAAGAAATATTTAATATTTATTTGTATTATTTAAGGAGGGAATTAGCACAATCAATTTACTATAAATGACCGCCACTAATTTCCAATTGATATTGTACAATAATCAGAATTAAAAAAAATATATATTTTTAGCTTTTGTTTACGCAAATATATATTGAAGTTTTAAGGCCTTTCCTTTAGAGATGGCTTCGGAAGTTTTTCTTTTTTGTATCCGACCTGAGGGATAGTTTGAGATGTGGGGAAAAAAGTTTAGACATGCGAAAATTACATATGTTATGTCGAAAATGACACACTACGGATTTTTTTTTTTTTTGCGTCTCCAAAATGACAGATATGATAGCCCATGTGTCGAGTTAAAATCACAACAAATAATAGAGTTAATTTGAATAAGAATAAGGATAGCCGAAACAGCTTTTTTTGTGAAAACATACCGCTAATTATGGATCCTTGTAGGAAATTATAATATGAATTCTTTTGAATAAGGTGTCCCAAATCAAGTTTTCACCGACAAGGGGAGGGGCTATACCCACGTCCGTATGGTCACCGATTTCAAGGAATTTTTTTTGGGTGATACTAGGTCGAAAAATATTAGACCCGTGTTCGTGGGTTCTTGCCATGAGCTCTAGGAACCGAGAAAAAAAATGTATAGCATTTCAAATAAAATTTAAGTTATTAAGTTTTTCCTTTATTTTCCCTTTTTTTTTTTTGTTATTATTTACCAATTGATTCATTTTGGTTTATTATTGTCAATAATGAACTATTGTAATCGTCTAAAAAACTGAAAAATTTAATCCCACTCAAAATTTGAGATTTTACGTTTAACGATAATTAGAATTCGAAAATTGAACAAAAAATTTTGTCCTTCCGCCGTCCGCGGCTTTTCTCTGAGACTGCTGGACCGATTATTTTCAAATTTGGAATCAAACTCAGAGGTCACCTGAGGATGATCATCTTACCTCGACATTACTATCCGCCCTTTCTTTCCAAGATAAAACTTTGTTGGTATAGACTGTAGCGCCTCAGCGAATGTACCAATTTCAATTAACCTTGTCTAAAGTCTTCTCTTCGATGAACTTTAAATTTCTCTTTATAACGTACTGTATCGAAAATAGTTACGAGGGATTGTAAACTTATATTTCCCAATAACTCAAGAACTATACACTTTTTGTTCATGGTTATTTAAAAGTTTACGAATTTTACTAAAATCGTTGAAATCGGACAATGTAGAGAAAAGACCTGGTGTTATACCTATGTTGTATATGTTCATATACAATCATCGTCCTTCCTACGCCTACAACCTTCTCCAATTCAAGTCTTCAGTCCACTCCCTCTCCACAAGATCTCGACCTTCCGACCTTTACATTCCTTCTCACAGATCTGCCTCGTTCCAAAACTCCTTTATTGCACGTTCTGTTAGTTTCTGGAATTTCCTTCCTATCAAAATTCGACATTCTTCATCCTTATCTACATTCAAAACCCTCCTATTCCAATTCCTGTCCCAAAAACAGTCAGGCACCAGCTAACCTTTTATGTAAAATTACATATTATCTATAAGACCATATTCACATATAGCTCATAACCTAAATACTTATT